GAGCGGTGCTCGTGGTGCTCATCGCGTTCAAACTCCACACGTTCCGAGCACCAGAGCCTCGCAGCGGTGAAACTGAGGCTCCGTGGTAAACTGTGGTAACATGAAGAGCCGTTTAGGAGCCGAAAGAGCCGGCTCTTCTTAGTGAGCCGATTCAAATGATCCGGCTCACTAAAAAGAGCCGACTCTTCTTAGAGACTACTGACTAGTCAACAACTGTCTCTCTTGACTTAATCAGAGAGCCTCTTTGAAAGTGCCTGTCTGGCTTATGAATATGGAAACCTCAGTTAAACAGCATGCTGTGGGCTCTCAGAGGCGGCTTGATGGAGAATAGACTGTGTGTAGTGGTGTATTAAGGAGATGGAGACTGGCTCGGTGAGAGAGAGAGGTTTTGTATCACCCTGCCTAATCAGCAAAGACCGGTTTCAGCATTAGTTTCTCTCCAGAACACATCATCACAATGCTCAGCAGAACATTTAAAAGGCATAGCTCAGCAATACACTGTTGCATTATTTTCGAATCTTTAATAGACATTAGCTATAGATATAATATTACTGGAAGTCACTAGCTAGACCTTACATACTATTTTAGTCTTATATTCAGTCGTAACTAGTGCAGCATTCACTCCTCACTACTTGCCATGAGTGACACTTCTCCTCCCATGACATCCTTAGTGGACACCTGACAGGTTCAATGAAAGGCAGCTGGCGGGACAGAATTGAAGAATGAAGTGAATAATTTATCTGAGCATCTGGGCTCATGTCCCTCATCTCAGTTTCCTCACTCCCCATCCTCTTCATCTCACCCCCGCCCCTTTTTCTCCCTCCACCCACACACCCGTAGAGCTTTCTTCTGTCTCTTGTTTTGAACTAAAACATTACAGGCATTGTTCACTTTTTCCTTCAGTGTGTCTTATCTAACCCTCTATATTATCTTTACATGCATAGGTTTTTATTTATATGCAATTAGCACAGTGTCTTATTTTTAGATCTGATTTGTGGGAATAATTAATGAAATTGGAGTCATAAACATTAATGTTCAAAAAATCTCTCCAACTATTTTGCTCAGATCGGTGTATGACCTTTTAAGATTTAAAGTAATGTTTTGGTGATCCGTGTCCATAGTTTATAACTTTTCACAAACACATTTGTCTCCTTTTTAAAAATATAGAGTTCATTCACTTGTTCATTGTCACTGTTTGGATTGCAACTGTTTCTCATGTTCTTGCCTCTTTGGAATCAACCCAAAAAAGGGCCAATCAAAATCTGAACAGAAGTTCATTTTTGTAAAATATCATTATGTTTTTAGTGACAGACCCAGTTTTTATGGTTATGAGTATATGACTTACATTCAATTGATTTACGACAATTTCCGAACATTATGCGTCAAGTCAGGTTTACTTGACCGTATGATAGGCACTATTTAAAGCCCTGGGGTCTGATAGCAACGAACAAGGCACTCTTTAGCATGAGACAAGCTAAACTATCATGTAACTACAAAGTAAACCGTGTCACACTAAAAATAAGTGCCTATAGGAGACATTGTATAAAGAGGGGAAAGTCTGTAAGGAAGGCGTCGGTCAGGGTGAATAGGGTCAAACAAATGCAGGACTTTCCCCCGATAGACTGTTTTTGATTCCCTGTGTGAAACAACTGACCAGTACTCAACATTGAGTGATGTTGCCCAACAAAGCAGAACTTCTTCAACCAAAACCATGATCTTTGACAAAACTTAAACAAGCTGTATAGTTGCATTACTTTATTTTTGTTTTGAATCAATTTCATATTTTGTCACCCAGTGTGTTAACACAAGGAGGCTTAAACAGTAATCAAAACCGTAAGTAATACGTTTAAGTGACAGTTTAAGTTTTTAAGTGCAATGGTGAAGGTTTATATTGAGGAGTTTAATAGAGTTCGAAGGTCTTATGGCTTGAAGCAGTCTCTGAGCCTGGTTGTACGAGACTGGATGCTGAAAATTAGGCTGAAAGACAGATTAAACATCATAGCATCCAAATAGTTTCAAAGTGAAATAAAGTAAACTTGTTTAGGAATGTCAAAGTTTACGATTGATAATTGTGAACTGTTTATAATAATACTGTTTAGATGCACCCTTTTATTAAATGTCAATAATGAAAGTATTTTTTTACACATACGTTTTTATGGTGGGAGCTCAATTTAGCTTTGTCTCCTTTGTAAGAAATTAAAATCAATGTTTAATGATGTAATTTGGTTTAAACATACAGTAATCTTAAAACTGTTTTATTGTGAAAACATTTCCGGTTAGCATTCGCCTGTGGCTACAATTTATTTTGAAAAGCTATTCCGGAAAGGATCTCCGAAATATCACCAGTAAGCTTGACTTCCGTTTTTGAGTAAACAACGATTGTAGTCGTTAAAATGCATTAAATAAAAAGTAATGAAAGAGATTAAGAGGAAAAAAGGCGTGGGAAGCTATACAATGTAGAGACTACGTCTAAATCCCCTGTTTTACGCGATAACGGACATTGAAGACCTAGGTGGGAGGTCCCCATGCGTCACCAGCCGCCATTGAAGAGGAAAAGCCAAATGCTGAAGTTAGGGAGCCACGGAGCTCTGTTCGCTCTTCTCCCGCGGGACCACTGCGAGACCATAGCTGCTACTGCGTTCGCCTCACTCTTCTGTCTGTCTCATTGCCACGCAACTTAATTAAATTAACCCATTTGAAGCTTATGCCAGAGACTCCGTTGTTTCTTACTTTTTAAACTTCCTCCTGGGATGTGAGAACAACGAACAAAGCTAATAATTTCCCCTTATTTTTTCCCAGAACTACCTGTTCGACTCGATTGAACAGCAATACAAGCGATGCAAGACATAGAATATACTACAGATAAGATGACTGACATTGATGGAGTGGCTGCATCTGGAACTCTAACACACCTGCATTATAATGAGGTGGCAATGATAGAAAATGATGGATAGGTCACAGCGTGGAGGGGTGACATGGAGGAGGGGATCTGAGGTGAAGTGAGACAGGATAGAGATGCAGATTTCAGGGGACAGATCAGCTGTCACCATCTTCAAATGTTGTTGTTTTTTAAGTTTATGACTTTAGCATGTTTCTCTGCAGTATACATGAGAGCAACCCACCCGGGTGCTTTCCTTCTACGTCATGGCCTTTATCTGCTGTTATTTGAGTGGTGATCACTACAAATTCTTACTTTTTTTTATCTACAAAGATCTCAAATACAATAGTTTATCAGGCAAACAATGTACAATGTCAATGGAGGTCCTTGATTTGTGTTAACATATGATGAAATTAAAAGTAACAGGTGATTGAAACCTTTTCAAGGGACAAACTCATTACAAATAAATTATTATAAATGTTGTTATATCGCACAGGCTCTGCCCTCTACTAGACTATATGGGTACTGCCCTCGACCTCCCTATGCGAGCGTTCACCTACTGAGAAATCTATAAAGGTAGCCGGACCCCGGGGGAGGTCCTAACTGAGGGCGCGCAGGCCCACAGTATATAAGGCAGCCTCGCCTCCCGCCCGTCATCCTTTTCTTCAGCGAGCAGGATAAACCACTGAGAGTGAAAGAGCGAGAAGAAAATAGAGAGAATGAAAAACTCACCAATCCTTGAGCACCGACCTTGCCCTAGGTACAACGGCCTAATCGCAGGTGCCGATCCCCACCGCATGTGTTTCGAGTGTCTGGGGCCTGAACACACCGGTCTCCCTCCTGTAATGCCTGCCAGGTGCTACCACAGCTTAGCCGCCGGCACCGCATGGAGCACTTTCAGGCCTACTACGCGTCCCCGGAAGAAGCAGACGACCACGTGGACCTTGAGGTGGTGGAGATGGAGGAGCAGGAGGCGGTGCCATTCGTTTTCGCCATCCCAGCGGGCCGGCCGGCCCCGTTCGTCGACGAGGAAGACGACGAGGGTTCCTTGGTGTCGGGTGCTTCTGGTTGCGGCGCCCAGGACGGGCCGCCTCACAGTTCCGCACTTCCCAGCGGTGATGGCCATCGCGGCGTAGCGTGTAGGGTTACCGCTCCCCCCGCCACTACCGCCAAAGCCGGTGAGCCGCAGGGGTTTTACGGCCCGGCGTAGCCAGCCTCTGGAGCTCTCCTCCCTGAAGGCGCTGTCATTAAAAACAGCGTTGCTGCTGGCCCTGACTTCGGCCAAGAGAGTGTCCGAACTGACCGCTCTGTCGGTACACCTGAGTTGCCTGTGGATCCGGGGTGACCGTAGCGGGGCGACACTCCGGCCAAACACCTCCTTTGTTCCCAAGAACTTAAGGAGTTCGTTCAGGTCAAGGGTTATACAGCTGTGCGGCTTTAGTCTTCCACCCCATATTGGGGACAGGGAGGCTTAACTGCACCTCCTCTGCCCAGTACGTGCGCTGGCATGTTATGTAGAGCGCACGGCTGTCATCAGGTTCACTGAACAGCTGTTTTGTGCTTCAGGGGGGGTGTGGCCGGTAAAGCTCTGCCCAAGAAATGCCTTGCAGGATGGCTCTGCGAGTGCATTGCACATGCCTACGGTCAGGCGTGGAGAGCCTTCCCCACGAGGGTCCGTGCACACTCTACACGAGCTATGGTTGTGTCAACAGCCTTATTTAGCGGCGTGAGTGTGGAGGACATATGCACGGCGGCGTCTTGGTCCACGCCAGGCCACTTCATAAGGTTTTATCTCTTGGACATTATGGCCTTCTATCATCTGTGCTTGCTGGGGAACACACGACTATGGGTGAGGGGGTGAGCGGGTTGGTGTGTGTCTCAGATAGCATAATCTGACGCCAGCCTTGACCATACATGACTGGGTATGTTTCCCATGCTCCTTAGGGACCTGGCGAACACATGTTGCGCAGTGAGAGCCCCATACACGGGTGTTGAGCTGCCCCGCTTGCTCAAGGCAGGCAGGGGCCGAGCCCTTGCCCTAATTTTTTTCGCAGTGCATACTCTTCACAAGCGGGTAAACGGTGTCCTGAGTGCGTGCTCTATCAGCCAAGTAAAGCGAGCCCGATGGCTCCTCCCACAGTCATCCACGAGGAGGAGGAGTTGGTGGTGCAGTGACTGCGTAACCAACAAAAAGCATCAGTGGCAGTGTGATTGGGTTGTTGACGAACAGGGCGAGTATCCATCAGGCGTCCGTGCGCACTGGATACCGCAGTAGAGGTCCAGGGGAGTATTCGGAGTGTGGAGCTTCTGAGAGATAGTCGTATCGATGGGTAGCGGTGTATGTGTGAAACCGCGTAGTGGTGTGATGGTATATGAAGTCACAAGGCGAGCGGCCGCGTCTACCAGGGTTCCGTTCTGTCTTGTCCCAGTGTGGGGGGTCGAGGCGAGTACCATTAGAGTCGCGAGTTAGAGTGCTTCGCCTTAGTGGCTTTATAGGGTTACAATACGTGTAGCCATCATAGTCTTCTGTTGTTCACTTAAGGCCTCAGTAATACGAGTACTGCTTGTCTGCGTCGTTATCTGCAACAGTTGTATATGGGTGTAAGACCTGCATGAAAGAGTATGCGTTGAATCACGATGCTGTGGAAGGACGTGAGGTATACATGCACTTATATGCAGTTTGAGCGATGGATGTCAGTTTAGGTTAATTGATGTACGATGTGGGGGAGTCATCTGGATTTATCTCTCCGGCTGTGTCGCCCTATGTCAACACACATGTAACACTTCAAACGTTCTGTCTTCGATCTGGGTTTTGATTTTGTGGAGATTAGAAGACGACAAATGAAAGAAGGGAATAGCCATTGCAGGGCCCGATCGGGCCGAAGTTCGGCTGAGGAAATTGTTTACTAATCTAAAAATTCCCCCACCAGAGCATACTGGCTGACTTATATCCAGTTGGGATTGTTATTGGAAACTATGCGAATATCATATTTCGACAGGTTGCAGGTGGGGTCCTACATACTTAGGGGGTAATGATGCATACCAATTTGAGGTTTCTGGTAATTTACTGATAATGCTTCGCATTATGCTGGGAAATGTCCCAAACTCTTGTGCGTATTTTATCTTAAGTCCTTTTGTGTTTGCCTGGGCCACGTCAGGCCTGTAATTGGAGCGTCTGATCGGATGATGTTATTGTAGTTGTTTAGAGATTCGCAGGTATTGCTTATTCGGTGACGCCGGTCTACGTAACGGTATCGCGACCACAACTTGTCATTCAGTACTCGAGGGCGACGAAGGTGCAAAAAAGTGCGTTAGCACCACACGTGCCTGGGTGTCCGCGCAACCCACTGAGTGTTTAGGTTATATGCTGCCTCATTAAGTTAAATTGTAAGTTAACTCAAACAATCAAAGTATATAGATGTAGAAGTGGTTAGCACATATAAAGATGGCGTCACTGTATGCGGGATATTTAAAACTCTGACCGAGAACTAAAATCCGCGCTTAACGTTGGTGGCAACCAAGGAGCAGCGGAGTAATATCTGCTGAGAAAGGAAAGACATGCTTCTGTCTGGCGCGCTGTCTGAAGGCTTGGCGAGCTTTCACGCGCCCGCATCATTGTCTCTCCGGAGGCACTCTCTCACGCCCCGCGCGGCTACAAGGGATAACTACAAACGCGAGAGAGAGAGTCTGCTGACTGGATTGCCGGAAACCGCAAGAATGCCGCGGTTCTCTCAAGTCTCGGATACAGGCGTCTGCCATATATTGCCTCGTATTCGGAGCGCAGGCGAGCAACGCTGTTTTAATGACAGCCGCCTCACCCCCGTCGCGCGCGCGCTTCGGCTCACCTATTGCAATGTCTCGCAGGTCGAGGCACATATGTTGCGCGTCCGCCGCTTGGGTACAGTCCGCCGCTCACTCAGAAATTGATCGTCCGCGTCGCCCCGCCGCGCCGTCCGCGGCAGGCTGGGCCGCCGTCGGGGCCCCTCCGCCCCGCCCCGCCCCCCCTGGGAAGGAGAGCTCCAGAGCTGGCTACGCCGGCGCCGATAATAAACGCCCTGCGGGCTCACCGCTCCTGCTAGTGGGGGGGCGGGGTAACCTACACGCTAGCGCGCGATCGGCCATCAGCCGCTGGGAAGTGGGGAAACGTGTGAGGCGGGCCGTCTGGGCGTCGCAAACAGGAAACCGATCACCAAGGGAACCCTCGTCGTGTTCTCGCGACGATACGTGGGGCGGCCGGCCCGGCTGCAAGTGGGGATGGCATAGCATACGATCCTATGTCTCGGAACGACGCTCGCTCCTGCTTCCTCGCAATCTGCTCAGCACCTCAGTAGTCCCGTGTCGTCTGTTCTTCCGGACGCGTAGTGGAGGCCGTGAAACTAGCTACCGATCGGGATGATGTGTACTTGGGTTCGGGAGGCAGTACCTTCAGGATGGAGCAAAGAGGGTGCGGGTCTAAGCTGTGTAGACCTGCGGCCATTACAGGAAGGCGGAGACTGGTGTAGTTTGCAGTCCCCAGACACGTCGAAACGAGCGATGGCGGGGGGAGTGGGGATCCGGCCACTCGAGTTAGGCGTGGCGTGTGTACGGTAGGCGAGTGCGGGTGCTCGCGAAGCTGGTGAAGTTTTCATTCTCTTATTTTTTCTTCTCGATCTTTCACT